TTGTGAATCGAGGGCAGAATAGAAGAGACGTAGATGGCGCGAGAGGAGGAAATATTATCAGACTACGCCACCTGAGTTGGCAGCTCTCCTAATTTCCCCTCAGCTCACGCTCGGAAATGCGTGAGTTCTTCGTCCAGCGATCAGCCATACTCAAAATGCTAAACGGAAGTTTCAGTTAGTGTCCTATTTAATTGCAATGCTGGAAAATTGGCAGTTTCGAGGCAGTACCTCTAAAAATAAAAGGAATTTGAATGGTGCTCAATCGGGCTTCCACTCTCTCAAGAGTCAAGTTCTGTATCCCGAAGTAATATTGAGTATTTCTGATCCAGTCATTTCCATAAAGTTTCACTTATGTGCCGCGACTGTCAGGTACAACCAGATGTGAACCCTAATCTGCGTTCACGCAGGGGATTTAGAATACCTTCCTATACGGCAAAAGTACTTTTTGAGGGAACTCGTTTAACAGGAACTATTAATGATAGTGAGTTGGAAACCATGTTGCATCTGACACCGTCCCAAAGTATCAGGCTTTTGTTCTGTTTTGAACTCTCATTAGGAGAAAACTGTTGTACCTACTGTTGATGATTAAGCACTGGCCAGACTTATTTTGTTTTTAGCCAGGCTAGCGCTGAGAATGTAAAAGGCTGCCACACAAATACAGGACAGACTGCAATTTATTTAATAGGAACTGAAAGCTAGCTGGTCGAATTTTTGCTACCTAGCAGATAGATGAAATTCATGTAGATACCCAGAAGAAAGATAGAATTGGAAGTATGTCACGACCGGCCCTGATTGGCCGGTAACTTAGAATGGCCAAAATCAGGCAACGTAATGCGCGACGCCGCGCGCGGAGGGCAGACGAGCCAGGATAATGGTTGCTTCGGGCTCTGTTGTCTGTCTGTTAGCCCACGCCGACTGATCTCTTTTATTCACGGACAACAAAGCGATGGGAGGGCTAGTGGAGTAGAGTTCGTTTTGTGTTTTAGCGCAAAAGGTCCCGTTTAGCATTTAGAAGGCCAGCCAATCATCAATTCGCCAGGTCTCGAACGCCATTTTTTCCTTCAAAAAGCAACCTTACAAAGTGTTTCATTCGTGGCTGCATCGCAAGACAGAACCTTTGAATCTGTTCTTCGTTCCCGCTCCCGTGGAGGGGACGGCATCGCATATCAGTATGAGCATTGACGCCAAGGGCACTTGGATGAACACTGCTGGTGTATTTTGAACGGAGCTGAAGAGCACTTCGTAGGCATCTTAAGTGATACTAAAGAAGTAGTGATGGGTTCATTGTTCCTACTTAATTCTGATTTACTTTTTGTAATATAGACGACATATCTTAAATATGGTTGCTCTTTTTGACCAGTACCTAATAGGGTAGGATACACGCTATACTAGAACACAGATGGTAGGAAGCACAATACAGTAGCACCGATAAATATTTCCTAATGTGTATGACGTTTCATTTGGCGTTGCGGAAACTCTCACTAAAGCATTTAGAATAGCAGCTCGTGAGCACACGTAGCTTCTGATAAATTAGCATCAACCGGTACATTACTATGAGGACGGACTACAAGTCAAAACCTATGAGTAATAATGTTTGTGCATAGGGAGTGAGGGTTAGGTGGGAACATTCTAGGAGGGGAGGGGGGGGGTGATGGCGAGGGCGCGAGAGGGGGAGAGCGCGGAGGGAGGCATGCAGCTAAGTGACCGTTAGCAATGTCGGGTACGGAGCTTGGAGGAGGTTCTTTTGTGCGCACAAGCCCGGCTTCCTCAACCTGATAGCAGTCACTTCGGTTGTTGCTAGCAAACGCAGGTCCAGTGCCTTGAGGTAGTTTAGTGAAGCTTTATAAATCACCCGGAAGGCTAAAATGGACTGCACACGATGCCTGGAATCAGAAAAATATGCGATAATATATTGCTGTTTTTGCTCACACCTTCGCCTGTTTTTCTGGCATGCCGGGAGGTGCTCTCTTACTGTTTTGGATAGACGCCGACTCGCGTGCCTACTATTGCTCTCTTGTATAAATGTACTGGCCCGAATATAATTGATCGAAAGCTTGCCAACTGGTCTGCTGATTTTTTTCCTTTGTTTCCGTGAGTTCATCACGGCCGTAACTTCGAACCGTGCAAAAGCATAAGAGCTCAGAGTTCACTCTGCGTTTCCTATACCCCGCCAAATCGGCACTGACGGCAAGTTCTACTAATGGACCCTAATGCCGGCATCCTTTACTCTCTTCCCCCCAGCCCTCCACCTTCCTTCCCTATCGGATTCCCTCCCGTCTCCTCCGTACACCGCCTCTCTTTCGTTCGGTTTGGCAGCCAAGTTTGCGCGGATAATGCGCGCACACGACCTGCAGTCTTGCTCTCCTCCTCCTTAGACCGCGTTACATAATTCATGCGAGTGTCAAGTCGATGTCTCCATTCTCCCCCTTCCTCCATCCTACGGTAGCGCGTCATAAACGACTCAGCTCAGGCGCGGATGCGGCTGGGTTTACCTTTGTT